TCCTTCCCAAGGACCTACGATAGCCAGATGTTGTTTACCAATATTAAAGGTATCGTTGCAGGATGTAAGCTGTTCCAGGTAAAGCTACCTTTTGCAATTGACTAATGGTGGTTTTGTCAATGCCAATGGTGTTCAAGTGGTGCTCCAGATGTTGATGATGATAATGATGATCTTTCCTTTAAAAAGGTTGTTATAAAAAATGTCATTACGCACTGAATTGGGACCCTTATGTCTTAGTAGAATGTCTGCATGCAGGTTTTATGTTTTCTAGATTAGGATAAAAAAGAAACATTATATAATCAAAGAGTCTGTGTTGCTCTGTAATCTGAATCCTGATTAATTTAATACTTTATTCACTCATATCCCTTGTAACTCATCCACTTTTCTGTTGCAAAAACATTAGCACAATGCCACACTATTTTAAACAGTAAAACCCACATGCATCCATGGGAGAGCATGAAGACAAGTATTTCAGAAGTCTTGGCTTTCCTTCTCAAATGATGAGCTCTAGTTCAGGACAAATGCACACAAATAAAATGTATAGCAGCTGGCTAGAACTCAATATAATCTGCAGGGTCGGTCTTATCATTAGGCAGAGTAAGGCAACCACCGCGGGCAGCAGGTTTTGAAAAGGCAGCAAATTCTCACTTAATTTGTGCTTTTGGGATCTCTGCTTCATATGCTTAGTTAACTTGGCTGGCAATGGATCTTGATTTGAGTGGGTAGGTGCCATCTGTTGCTTTGCCTCAGGCAGCAACATGTCGTAGGCCAACATTGACAATCCAATCAGTCCCAAACTTACTATTTGGGGATCAGTAAAGATAGTAGATTCTAGTCAAGACTATCTGTCTTTCTTTACCAAATCCTGAGCTACCTGGTTAAAAAAGTAGTGCTGTGTACATTGGATGCATTATTCTCATCTATCAAATTGTTTCATTCATGGTGCAGAATAGAAGAAGGATTTCATTATGTTCTACATTCCATCTCTACAGGTAGTCCTCAACTTATGACCACAATAGGGACCGGAAAATTCGTTGTTAAGTGGTGTGGTCATCAAGCAAGGCATCATGTTATTGCACCCGGTTTTATGACATTTTTTGTAGTGGTCATTAAGTGAATCACCTCAGTAGTTAAGTGAAACACGTAGTCGTTAAGCAAATCACAGTCCCCCATTGATTTTGCTAGTTGGAAGCTGGCTGGGAAGGTCACAAATGGTTGTCACATGACCCTAGGACATTGCAACCATTGTAAATACATGCTGGTTGCCAAGTGTCCAAATTTTGATCATGTGACTGCTTTGTACAGCTTTTGTCCCACTCTGCTACTTAACTGTTTTTGATGTTTGCTGATATTTAATAAATAAACATCAAGCTGTATTTGCTAGCTAAACTGAGTAGCACATGTGCTTACTCTGATATGGATATAGAGATCAGACTGGGAATGTGCTAGGTGCATACTAAACTGGAAATTACCCACAGTAATTTTCTAACAGTTTAAAGGTTGCTAAACTGCAGTACAGAGGCGTTTTTCTTTCTTAATCAAAATTCAGTCACCATGTTCTAAATCAGTTGTCTGGAAAAGGTATTCTCTGTTCTCAACCAGGAATATTCCTTCATTCATTCACTCATCAATGCATATAGGCTGCTCCAATCACAACTGACTCTGTGCAGTATTCAATTCCTCCCCTCTGTAACTGTGATTAAAACAAAATACAACCAATGAATCAAAACCATAAAACCACAACATAAAATCCTGCAATCCTAGTTGCAGTCCTCCCCCCCTATTAAAACCAGGGCCATTGGTAGAAGGACAAGCATCTCATTCAACTCCCAGGTCTTGTTTGAACAGCCAAGTCTTTGTAGATTTTCTAAATGGGAAAAGAGAAAGGGCCGTTCAAAGGTCTGAGGGGATGCTGTTCCAAAGGAGGGGGGCAGCCATAAAAGGGGCATGCTTCCATGTTCCTGTAGATGGCACTTTCTGAGTGAGGGGATGTAGAGAGAGACTGCCCTACTTGACCTTATTGGACAGGCAGATATTCTTGAGGAAAGGCAGTCCTGCATACATCCAGGACCTGAATCATGCAGGACTTTGAAAGTGACAACTAGTGCCTTGAATTGCATCTAGAAGCCAACCTTAAACCGTGCAGCTCCTGAAGTAGCAGCGGCATATATAGACAGCCTCAGTTAATGCAATATTGTGATGATGGACCATATATATACAGTGTGTGTGTGTGTGTGTGTGTATTCTTTTCTAGCTATTTTCTCTTTCAAGATATAGCAAACAGCTATCAGTCTTACCAGGATTCCATGCAACCAAGTTTATCCCTTAGCTAAAACATATTCCCTATTTTTTCCAATACTATTTAGAAGCTGCTTCATTACATCCTGTCAGAATAGCAAAGCCCGACTTAGTTTAATATAAATCCCATTGCTTTCAATGTATCTGCTGTAAGTGTGACTAACGGCTTTTGGTATTGCAACCTTAATGACTCCCATGTGTAACCTGGATGGAACTGGAGCCTGTTAAAGAAATCCCATTTCAGATTTCAACACCTGCCTTCTCTTTGGCCACGACGATGGCCTGATGTTCTGTCTGGACTGTGTAGAAAGAAAAACAAAACATAACACTGTTTTACCATTTTTCCAGTCACTTGGGCTAGAAAGGAAAAATGGGAGAACTTAGGCCAACTTCACTTAGGTGGGCTTTTTTTAAAAGACAGGTCCAATTTTTCATTGTTTCATCAGCATGAAGTCCAGCTTTTCAAAATTCCAGTGAAGCGTACGTGTTTGTGTATACACAGACATATACACACTCACATATCTCCATAGGGACAAGGCACCAGTGACTGGTAAGGAGGTGGTGTCCCTATTACAGTGCACAGTAGCCAAATTTGTGTGGAGGGGTTTACCTCCAATGAAATAAAGGGTAGCACAATACCACATGAGTCAGCACTACTTGGAAGAAAGTACATTTGACACAGAGCAAGAAAAGGTGGGTGGAGGTTGCCTTTCTGGTGGGCCGGGCAGAGGCTGGTATTTGCATTCCTGCCCTCAAGAAATGGTCAGTGGCCTGTACTGGCCCTTGGACAAGAAAGCTGGCTGTGCAGATCAGCCCTAGGTCTAGTTCTAAGACAATATCTCAACATTAGTTTTTTCAAGCACCATACCCTGAAGCTGTCTGGGTTGTAGAGCCTATCAGTAGTGCCATATTTTCCTTAATGCCTAGAAGTAGCGAATCTCCAACCTTTCTGAGTAGTGCCTACATCTGAAACCGTCTTATGAACACTCACAAAATGGTTGCAATGTGCTGTGACCAGTTACAAAGCACCCATTTCCTGAAAGATAAATTAGTGAGTTGGCTTCCCACCAGACCTCTGTAAACCCCTCAGAATGCATGTTCTTCTCCTTCTCCTCTTCCTTCTCCTTCTCCAATCTCTGGACCATTTTTATTATCTTAAGAGTACTTCTGAAGCCGAGAGATAGGTAGCATCTGACCAGTTTTGTCTGGATTGAGAAGATAAACTGGGGAGTGCTTGGATGGGAAAACTTCAGAGAATTCCAAGGTTGAAATGTTGAAAAAAAGCATTCTGGAAAAAGGTAAGGACAAGCCACTTCCATTTGTTTCCAAGACTGAGTTCATGAATGCACCAGGAACTGAGCTCAACTCAAAACAGCCCCTAATTTTCAGGGCAGTGGCACATGCCAAAGAGATGTCCTTACGGCATTGCTCTTGTGCCTCCTCAACCACGTTATTTTCCGACAAACTGCCACTGAAATTCTTTTCAGGGAAACTATCTGACAATGATCCATTATGTCTCATGAAAATGTCTGCAACTGCCTATAATAAATCAGTTACAACAAACTGTTATTTAGCCATCAGGAAATGTGCCATCAGTCTGATTTTAAGACCATTGTATAAAAGCCACCATTTTTTATTCCAAACCACAGACCAGCTCTTTAATTAGATTGCAGATTCTACCCCACAATTCCTGAACAGGAGCCATTCAAGCACTTGATTCAGGGTGTTAGGCAAACCCAGATAACTGTGCTGATTTAATTATGATTTAGTCAAGCAAGGGCAAGGAGGATGGAAGTAAGTTTACTAAAAGCATAGGCCTGTTACATAAAGAAAGACATGACCTGGCATAGTGGTTGGTGGATGGATTTATGTTTTTATTGAGGCCTCAACAGAGTTTATTGTTGTTTTTAAATCTATCGGGGTTTTATTTTTTCCCTGCCCAGAGTTCTTTTTAGTAGATGGGCAGCTATATAAAGGAAGGAACGGAGAAAGGGCATGATTTCTCTAACCAATACTCCTGTTTCTACCCTGCCTGGAACCAGGTTCCTAAGATCAGCTTTTTTCCCATTGATTGAATGGAAGGAAGCCGCCGAAGATCTCTTCACGGAATTAAGCAGCAACGTGAAACGGTCCTCCTCCTCCTCAAGGCACAGCAGGTCTGGTCTCCGCTCCCAAGAAAGAGACGCGATCGGGCACGTTCAATCAAAAGGCCTTGCTGCGTTTCTTATGGATACGACGCTTACAAATCAGATCAACAGATAGCATTAGCCCTTGCAACGGAACTGAAACCGATCCCCATAACTTTTTGGGAAGAACCACGTGTTCCATGAACTTTTTTTTTTTTTTGCGGCGGGGAGATTTTTCATGAGTATCTCGAGATAGGAGAATAGAATTCAATTTGAGGAGGCTACCTACAAAGAGAACAGCATCTTTGTACCGATGTCGCTATTAAAAAAAGCAACTCTCAGCGAGACATTCCCTTCTACCCCACTCCACACCCGAACTTTCCGGACAGCTCCAATTCCCTCTCACTTTCATAAGAGACTGCAACTCTTTAAGGCGGAAAGCCCATTCCCTAAGGGTATTCCAGTTCTCGCGAGATTCGTAGGTCCTTTACGTTTAAGCGTTTCGGTCTACGAGATTTCCTCTGCGGGGCTTTCAGAGAGAGGCGCATGCGCAACCTCAATCTCTCCTCCTTAGGAGGGACAACATGGCGATGCCCAGTTTGGATGCAGATGGTCGGAAGCTGCGACCAGGAAAAAGCAATCGGATCCTGTTGGTGCGGCATTTGCCCGCCGTATTGACGCCCTCTGAGAAGGAAGAGCTGCTGAGGCATTTCGGGGCCTCGTCAGTGCGGGTCCTGTCGGACTACGGCAGGCTGGTAGGGAAGAACCATCCTGGTGCACGCAGGGGTGTTTATATCTCAGAGGCGTTCTCTAGTTTGCAATAAGCGGAAAGTGTAATTCACAGGGTGGCATCTCCTGGGTTGGATCTGCCTTTGGGCTCTTCTCACCCTTCTGCCTGAAGCAAATATATTTGTTTTAACTGGTGGTTTTATTGTACGCCATCCAGCGTCACGTGTGTGTGAAATGCGCGGCTGTATGAATTTGTTAAATAAATGCCGCCTATTAGTGCCAGAGATACAAGTTGGCTTGAAGCTAACAAGTAATCAAGAGAGACAAAAGCAACAAATTAGGTCGAGAGAGAGCAAGGGGGGGGGGGGAACCATCCAGGTGTTCAGGTGTAGGTATGCAGCCGTAGCTGTCAGAGTGAAGTTGGGATTCTAGAGGGTTACAAATATAAATATATTCAGAGAAGGATGATGAATTCAATCAGGATTAGAGGAATTGAGGAAAGAATAGATGAACTGCACTTTGATTGCTACTCAGACATGTTGTCGTGCAGAGGATATGTTTTCTCTTTGTACAGAAGCAAACCTATGCCTGGTTTATTTTTCAGAAACATACAGCTTTTGCAACTTTTCCCAATGAAAATGCAGCTGCTCAGGTGTGTATTGGACTTTTAAACTATTTTCTCCCCTTTGGTTTTCTTTTTCATACTTGTATATCACTATGTATTTCAATAGAGCAGGGTCAGGTGACCTGGTGCGTTTCCTATATTTTGGACTCCAACTTCCATAAGCCCCAGGAAATCTGGGCAAGGGTTTATGAAAGTTGTTAGTAATATTTGTGGGGTACCAGTTGTCATTCCTGTAATGTAAAAACAGTAAATTAAATTAGACCTAAATCATTTGTATACTTATTTGAAACAATAACCACTGGGTGCTGTGACACTTCAGCTCAACCACACATAGGATTGTTTTATAAAGTAGCAAGTATTTTACATAATCAAGTGCTGCTAAAAGCAGAAAAGTTCTGGAGTGATGCTTATACATAAAAACTAATATGGAAAAATGATTGCTTGATTTGTGAACTACTTTGTAAATGGAGGCAGATGTGTGATATGCCTTCCAGATGTTACTGAATTTTAGATGCTAGCAGCCCCAGCCACCATGGCCAGCCATAGGATATTAGAAATGCTATAGATTACTTGTTATAACATTATACTATACAGGTAGTCCTCAGCTTACATCCGTTTGTTCAGTGACCATTCAAAATTGTCATGGGCTGAAAAAAATGGACTTATGACCAGTCCTTGAAGTTCTGATTGTCACAGCATCCCTGCGGTCGCATGATCGCAATCTAGGCACTCGGGTGCATGGCTCGCGATTACAACATCACAATGAGTTGCATCACATGATCGCAATTTGCGACCTTCCCTGCCAGCTTCCCACAAGCAAAATCAGTGGGGAAACCAGAAAGGAAGTTTGCAAGTTCACCTCAGTAAGTTGTTCCTGCCACTTTTCCTCCTGTGGAGCCCACCCGCAGCACCTACCTGCCCTCCCCCGGCCTTCATCAGCCCTTCCATGGCCCCCTACCAACCCACCTGTGCTCCCTAGCACTTGCCCATGGCACCTCCCCATGCTCCTTACCTGGTACTCCCACCTCTTCCCAATTAACCCCACATCCTGGGGTCACGACAGCAACAGGGACTGTCAGGATTGCCATTGCTAAGCCTTGTGGTCACGTGATGTCACGCTTTACAACTACTTTGCTTAATGTCAGCAATCCCAGTCCCAATTGCTGTTGTAACCCAAGGACTACCTGTATTCCATATTTTTCTGATTTAAGAGCGTGCAGTAGCACTACGGTGGTGTATTATTATTTTTCTTCTAGCTTTATTCAGATGTGGCCAAAAGCATTAGCGCCCTTCCACTTTTTCTCAAAGAATCCCAATTTGCCATGGAATAAGTTGAAACTGGCACAAGTAAATGGCATCTACCAATCTTTATTCAAGATTGTAGTTACTGCCTCAAAAGGGTGTGCTATAAAATATTAGTTTTAGGGGTACCAATAATTATGTCCGTGCCAATTTCATTTGTTTCATTATTTATAAGAATATGTTAAGTCATACATCAAAAGTGAAGTGTCTGTTCTGTCCATCTGTTCTATGGAATAAAGAATGACGAATGCCATTTATTTGTGTCAGTTTCAACATATTTCACAGAAAATTGGGATTCTTTGGGGAAAAATGGAGGAGTACCATTCTTTTCCCTACAGTGTTTTTCTCTACTGTGTGCCATTCTAGGCAAATTAGAAGAGGGAAAAAATGAAAAGCTTGAAAAACTATTGATCCTTGTTTTGACATAATATTTAGATGTTCATTTGGGCTATTGTTGTATTCTATTGAAGGCTTTATCAAAATTACATCAGCTGAATCTTCTAGGCCACACTCTTGTAGTTGAATATGCAAAGGACCAAGATAGTGGTCATGCAGTTAGCCAGCCTTCTGAAAAGGACAAAAGGTATGTGGACATTTCAAATTCAGTAGATTTATAACATCTTGAGAACTAAATACTACACATACATATACATATACATGCACGTGCACACACACACACACACACACAGACATGCACTTTTTGTGATAAATACAGAAGGATCTATATTGTTTATCCAAATTGTTTGTGCATTACTAAGAGAATTAATAATATAAATAGTAGCACAGGTAAGATTATTCTTTTTCAGTTAGTGTTTTTATCGCAGGTCTTACAGTCTTGACGATGCCTGTCAACATTTAAAGACAACTTACTGATAAATTTAAATATTTGAGCATAACAAATTTAAATGGTGACTCATATCTGTGAGCCAACATCAACTAATAATTTCATAGAAATAGCATAATCTATTATTGCTGTAGAAATAGCATAATCTATTATTGCTGTATATGTATTATTCCAACATTGTCTTCTGTCTGATGTGTTTCTTTCCAGAAAAATTTTAATTCAGGCAGACTGGAATAACATGAGTGAACAATTTAGAAACCTTGCTTGTTGAATTAATGCATTGTTGAGTAACTTCAGCCTACCACATAATGTTTTAATGTATTAGTTGTTTATTGCTGTTATTATTTAGTCTTGAAGAACCTGTCAAAGAAGAGAAGACCCAAAAAGATCTAAGCTGTCTCAGAATTGAAAGTGGAATTGCTCCAAGCCATGGGTTAGTACCTGGTTCTGATCGAATGTTAAGATTACATACTCTCAAATAACTTGCATGCAGGTAAACACACTTGAAATCAGTAAATTATGCTTATTATTAGCTTCTCAGATGGACCACTTTCCCTTCTACCCTTAGAACTGTAATGTTTTCCAGAATTACCCTACCTTAATATTTGCAAGGGATGGGGTTTTTTTTCCTTCTTTGGATAAACCTTTATTAGATATAAAACCTGGAAAGCAACAGAATACTTGCTTCCTGAAAAGATCACTGTATCCCTTTGACTTCCATCAGTTGCTTTGGTTTTCTAATGCCCCCAGATTTATTTCTGCAAAGATGTGATGAAATATGAAGATTCTTGTATTTTTCCAATACCTTTCCTGCTTGGTATTGCCATTTTACATGGGACAAGGTCTGAATTGCTACTGTGTATGTACATCAGCACTTGCATGTGCCAAATGAAATATTTTTACTTTGAACAGTACGTGACCATGTTTTAGCTTCTGAAATTGCCCTTTGTTTCAGAAGTAGCTTCCATATGGCATAAGTGGTTACTGTTCAAGAAAGACAAACACAGTGTTCCCAAGACTAACACTACAACTGACATGTTTTTTTAAGTATGACAGTAGGCTATTGGCTATGGATTTTATCAGGCTTAGATAGAAAATAGATAAAACAGAGAGATACAGCATTAATGAAGCAGATAAATATATAAATCTAAAGATTTATAAATCCAAAGGCCAGGCTTAACTTTCTCACAGTGTCTTTATATCTTTAAACCCTGAATGCTTAATCATGCTAGCTAGCTAGCTAGCTATTTATTTATTTATTTATTTATTTATATTCATTCTTATTAATTTAAAAATCTGATTGTTTTCTCCTACAGGTTAACGTTCCCTATAAATTCTTGCCTCAAATATTTGTATCCCCCACCTTCTAGTACAATCTTAGCCAACATAGCAAATGCTTTGGCAAGTGTTCCTAAATTCTATGTACAGGTAAGTGTATATATGGAGACAGAGAGAGAGAGAGAGCGCGCACGCACGCACGCGCGCTGCTTTCATTTGAATATAATATTCAGCCTTTAACAGTATTGTCTATGTTTATTGGTGTGTGTGGCAAAAATATTATTTCAGGTATTAACTGCTTAACTGTTAGTCACTGATGAATTATTACTTTAAGGGACAAATTCACTTGGTGAGAAAAACCCAAGTTAATGTGTATGTTCAGTATTTGATAGAATTGATACACTTATTTTCCTTAGGAACAAATAGAGATCACTGTATTCCTTCTAAACCTTTTCTGTCCCTGGTCCTCCAAAAGGAAGGTTTGACCCTTGGCTGTAATATGGTTGTCCACATTAATATAATATTAATATAATATGGTTATTAGAATTCCTTTTTGAACCTAAAGGAACCTTTCTTAGGATGCTTCTGATCTGCAGCTTTTATCTCTGTTTCTATTTATTGATGTTTACTAATTTATTAATGAGAAACACCTCTTTTTTTCAGTACAGACTTGTAACTTCCACATTTATTCAAAAGGAAGATGACCCTGAATTTAAAATGAGCCCTTCCAAAAAGGAAGAGTAGTCTCCCTTCCTCCTCCCCATAAATATAGACAAAAAGTGTTCTGTAGCACCCAGCTTCTCTCTCTTGTCAACCTAAGGTTACCAAGGCCAACTGAATCCAATCCTGGAAAGTCCCCTCTCCCTAAAAATCTAAGCATGATTATGAAGCCAAGAAAAGAAATAACTGCACAGGGAAGGAAAGACCCCTTTTTAGGCATTACAAAAAAGATTAGAATTCAGTAAGAAGCAACCCTTTTCACACATAATCTGCAAAGGCATTAAAGTTCATATTGCCTTTTAGTATGGTTGCGTTTTAATATGGAAGTAATGGTTTATCAACTTTCAGGCATCAATATAAGTAAACTTTGAGCAATAATGTCTTGTTTTCCAAGATCTTTGTTATAAAATCTGTCCTTTAGACAATTATTATTATATATCTTTAAAATTCCTCTTTTGACTATTTTAAAATTGCCAATTTCTCATCCTTATTTTTAGAAGTTTGGAAGCATCCTAAGCAGATTTTCCTGTCTGCTCAAACCATTCCTTTGCTTCATTTTGCACCATTCTTTTTGGAATGATGATAATTGGAACTTACTCTCTTCTCCCTGCATTGTTGCATTGCATCGTATCGTATCGTATCGTATCAACACATCATTGTGCTTTAAAATATGCTTCTATAAATCTGTCTTTGAAAGGTGCTTAAATGAGTTTTACCAGATTGGGATAACTTAATTTCACATGTAGAATCTTCCCCTACGATTTTTCCCTGATTCCAGAACTTGCTCCTCAAATGCAAATTTCTACTTAGCTGTATGGAATGTGAAACAGTTGTACAAATTTGTCATGTATATTACTGAATGTGGAATGCTTGAAATATTATGGCAAGGCATTGTTCTAAAGATTATTGGCATAATTATGTGAAGCTCTTGGAATATTTTTAAGAAATGCTATTTGAATATTATGCTACTATTCTGTTTCAGGTTTTGCATCTTATGAACAAAATGAATCTTCCACCTCCTTTTGGACCAATTACTGCTCGGCCACCCATGGTAAGAAACTTTACTGTTTAGAATACTGTGAACAAAAGCAATTGTGCATATACAGTATAATTTTAATTTACATTTTCTTCCTGAGGTCAGAAACCAGCATACTGCTTGCTTTCATGTAAGCAGTTGTATGAGGATAATGGTGATTTTAACTTTTTCCTAAAAAAGAGAATATTATGAAAACCTATTTCAGTAGATAGTGGTAAAAGATTTGCAACAGTCCCTAAAATGGGAAAAAGCATCTCCCCCAGCTATGTTCCAGCTTAGGTCAAATTTGCAGCACACTGCTGAGGTTTCTTCCCCTTTTTTAGTCTTTATTTTTGTTGCTTTTCCCCATGGTGGAGCAGTATGTGGCATACTCAGCCCACTGTGGAGCATCTCATGGACAACTGGAGCAATTTTGATAGCCTTCAAATATTAAGTTATATATTGTTAACATGAATAATCCAAAATAAATGAGACTTCAAGAATATGAAATTGCACTTTGTATTTCCTATTCCAACTTCTCATTGCAGTCAAATAGTAGAAAAGAACACTGGGTCCATAGAAGAATTTTTTGCCTAGTCCTCCTTCAGTCTTCACTCTTGCTTACTGTTGACCTCCACTTTAGGAATATATTGCAAATGTGATGCAGAAACTTTGGTCTTTGTCTTTATGATTGCATGTGAGATAGTGTGTGATAGGGAATATGAATCAAGAGATCATAGATATGGTATGAGCATGTATGTTTATGTATATATGTGTGTGTGTAAGAATTCTTGCATTTAAACTATTACCTGACAGATTATTTAAATAATGAGAAATCCTATGTGTCATTCCTTGTTTAGTATGAAGAGTATATTCCTTTGCCACCTCCCATTCCTCCTTTGCCTCCTGAGGAGCCTCCGTTGCCTGAAGATGATGACAGCCAAGACTCAAATAAAGATGAGTCTGAATATGAAAGTGCCGATGAAGAAGAAAAAGAAAGGTGGGTAATAAGACTGCAGCAAAGCACTAGCTTTTGGGTGTTCTGTTCTAGTTTCTGTTAGCCTAAAGATAGTAAAATCTTGAGATTATACTATTTAGTGGAAATGTCAGCAGCATACGTCCAGACAGAAGTAATTGCAGTGAAATCAGCTTGTTTCAAGAGGTTCAGTGTTGGCCTTCCGCTCTGGTGAACTTAAGTAATATAATTTAGGCATTCTTGGCATCCCTTCCAGGGCATGACAATATAGAAACCCTGACCTGCTATTTAGATACCAACTGTAGAGAGATTGATAGATATGTTATAATTGGGAAGGCTTAGTTAATTATCCAGACTTCATAACTACTGAGGTATTTTATTTCTTTTGGACTCTGCACTGAATTGAATCATTGTATAATTCACAGAAGAGATTGCAGGTGAAAAAGGATATGTCCCATACTTAAGTTTTATCAGAATAATTTTGGTAGATTTTCTGCTATCTTGGGCTTCCAGCATGGGAGACACAAACCTGAATTAAAGCTATAAATAACCATTTTAGTTTCTGTGCAAGTTGTCTATTACAGTAGATGGTTCTTTTAGAAAAACATTAACATTTTACAAGAATCAGCCCCTCACTCTTCCTCCTCAAGAATGTTAATATCTAAGAAGACATTAGAAAAATTCCTTTTTCTATACAGATATAAAAGTTACTATGTGTTCAATATTCAGATTTACAAAACTGATGGAATTGGCAACACTTCAGCCAAAACGACAGATACCAACAAAGCAGCGTCATGCAAGAAAAAGAAGAAAGATAAAGGACTTATTAAATGTTTCCCTAGTTGCTCCGCACAGGTATTGACACAATAGTTGATGCGTAATATTGCCAATTAATTGTAAACCTGGTTGTACCCTTGTGGATGTCTTGAATGAAAGAATATATGACTTGATGACCTTCACACAGCACACTAAGCCGCTTCTGCCTGCCCATATTATAGTTAGTGTTTGGGGGACATACTGTGCCTTGTATTTCTATGGGATATTTTCTTCTAGGACACCTACATCAAGTGATTAAGAAAGCTGCTTTCTTTTGTCGAATGTCTGCCTGGACACATTATTCTGCAGCCCATAATTGGCCTCAAAGTCTAAGGCAAACTGTGGGTATGTGCATCATGAAGTTGAAATCCATCATAGCATACAGTTTATGTGATGTGGATCATAAGGAATGTACATTATTTTCAATTTCCTAGGTTTTGACTCAGTGGAAATTGAAAATATCACCTTAAGCTGGCTTTTAAACAAATATTGAATATAATTTTTTTTAATAATGGCAATAATTTATAGTGTGAATAAACTTCAACATGAGGCTATAGCTTACAGTTTTGTAGAAAACATTTGGAGATGAACTTAGCATACTCTTGGCTTTTGTCAGAACAGGCATACTTTAACTGGAATAGCTCCTGAAAAACAATGAATTGAGATTTTACTTCTCTTCCAGGTAAACTTCTGTCTGGCCTGTAGATGCACAGGGGAACTGTGACCAATTTAAATTAGTTGCCTAGTCCACCTGTTTCTCCCTGGTTTATTTTCCATGACCACCAGCTCCAAGCACTATAGGTATAGAAGAATTTATTTCAGCCTCCTGATTGGCTGAGTGGGCAAATATTCAACTGGAAAAGCTTTACTATAGGAGTGTGTAGAGATGGCAGCTCCATCTCTTCTAAGGAGCAACTTCATTTATAGGTTTTGGAAAGCCTGATTATAATAACAAATATCTGTCTATGGCAGGTCAAAGTCATCTGTACTTTCTAAAGAAATCTTATGAAATAACGGGGGAAATCCTATACTGTTCCCTACAGTGATGCTTTCTGAATCAGATCTTCATGCATCTTGTTAGCCAATTTCCCTAGGTGCAAACTGTTGATGTAGCCTTACTTCTGAGTACTTGCTAAAAACAACATAATGACATTTGACAGAGGCAATTGCAAAATTCTTCACTTGGGAAATCCAAATCCTGTTTCTTGTGAAAAAGATCTTTGAAAAATTATTGATTACAAATTGAGTCTGAGTCAGCAGATCATGTAACTGCAAAAATGGCAAATGCAGTTTTGGCTTGGATCTACAGAAGTATAATTTTAAAATCATGGAAAGTAATAGTTCCACTTCATTGTGTCATTATCAGATCCCACCTCAAGTAGTGTATCCAGTTCTGGGAAATACACTTAAGGATTTAAATAAACTGATAAAGTTTCAGAGAAGGGCAGTGATCAGGAACTAAAACTACAGGAAGTCCTCATTTAGCGACCACAATTGGGACCAGCAACTCAGTCGTTAAGCAAAGAGATTGTTAAGTGAAACTGACTGCTTAAGAACTTACTTCAGCTTTCCTTTGCTTTACAGACCTGTGAAGGTCATAAATGCGAGGATTGGTTGTAAAGTTACTTTTTCATTAGTGTCATAACAACAGTTGCTAAACGACACAGTCACTAAACAAGGACAACCTGTAATTCCTATGAAAAGAGATTGAAGAAATTGGACATTTTCTGCCTTGAGAAGATATTGTGGGGATGGGGTATGATAACACCCTTCAAATATCTGGAGGGATATCACATTGAAGAAGATCCAGATTTGCCCTAGAGTTCAGGACATGGCATAACAGATTTAAATTAAAGGAAAATGGTTTCCACTTTGTTGGTCTGTTGGATGGATTTATAGTCTGCCTTTCAGATAGGAGCTCTGAAGTTAGAGTAATTCAACAATGGAACCAATTACTCCAGAGATGAAGCAAGGGAGAGGACACTCTCCATCACTGCATATTTTCGAGCAGCATCTAGACAGCCACTTTAATTTGGATTCCTGCCTTAGCAGGGGATCGGATGTCATGCCCTAAGTGCCATCTTCCAGTTTTATGGTTCTGGGATAAAATATGTTGATAAGCAAAGTTGTCTCAATATTATGCACGATGAATAAAACTTGAAGATGATTTTTGAAGTAAGATCTGCACTAATGCTAAATAATTATAGCCTACTTTTTCAAGTTACATTGTTCCAAATAATCTGTAGTGCACAAAGCTAGTTCAAGAAAGGAATGGCTGTTGAAAGATACTAGATTACTTAATTGTCTGCTATTGTATAAAAGATCAAAGTGCTTTCAAAGAAATGTAAAATGGTTGAGAAATGTGGGGAAATATCATTTTGAAAAAAAAATTAAAATGAACTTCATGTTGTGTTTTAAACAGTAATTTGCACCCAGCACTGACACCTTCAGATGTGTTTGAGCAGCCACAAACTGTAGGTATCAAGAAGATTGAATTTAACATTTCTGCAGATACGCCTACTATTCTTCAGAAAAGCCTAGAAAAGGAGCACAATGATGGTATGAAATTAGTATCTGCTTATAGAGAACTTACAGTTTAGATTCCTTATAATGTGCAGTAGTACGTGAGGAATGAGTCAGGAAATTGCTAATCTATGTGATCTTTCTTTGATGAACTAGCTAATTGTGCTTAGATAAGCTACTCTCTTTAACCGTCATCTGTATTTAGTAAAAAATAATACCAATAGTGATTGCTAAAGTTTTGCAAGATATTGCTTTAAACATTCTAAAATGTGATGTAAGCATTAAGCATACAGGTGGTCCTCATGTACTGACCATTTGTTCAGTGACCATTTGAAGTTACAATGGCACGGAATAAGGAGACTTATGACCAGTTCTCAACGTTGCGGCTGTTGCAGTGTCCCCACAGTCCTGTGACTGCAATTCAGGTGCCTGGCAACTGGTGCGCATTTATGATGGTCACAGTGTGGTCCTGTGGTCATGTGATCACCATTTGTGACCTTCACAGCCAGCTTCTGACAAGCAAAGTCAATGGGGAAGCTGGCAGAAGGTCACAAGTCGTGGTCACATGACTTGGCACTTACCTGCAGGTGATTCGCTTAACGTCCACAGCCGGAACTGATGAGCTGCCATCGTAAGTCAGGTGCAGTCACATAATTTTTCACTTTACAACTGTGTTGCTTAGCAACAGAGTTGCTGGTCCCAATTGTGGTTGGTAAGTGAGGACTACCTGTACTTATGTAGAGCTGGCAGCAAATGGTCTGAATTGAAATTCTTTGTTCAGTCATTACCATAGTATTTTCAGACATTATGACTGAATTTTTGTTTCTAGCAGTTTCTATTTCTGTTGATGATGGCATCAATCCAGAACAATTTTAATTATTTTGAATTTGGTTGAACTCAGTGAGCTTAAGCATCTTAAATTTACCTTAGGCTGATGTTGTTGTTAAGTTGTTCATTCAGCTCTTTGTGACTGGATCAAATACCATTGAAACATTTTGTACCTTTTTTTTAAAAAAAAAATAGACTCTTACTCAGCAGCTGATGAAATAGCTAATGCAGGATTTGGAAAAATTTTCCCTGCTCCCAGTTCTAATCATAAAGAGGATACAGAGGATGAAGAGGATGAAATTCCTTCAGAATTTGTTTCTAAAAGAGAGCTAGAAAAAGGCAGAATTTCAAAAAAAGGTAACTTTATAATTTAAACATTTTTGTAGCATGCAGTGGGGATACTGAATTTGATTGTATACTCCCCATGTGATGTTAACTTTTTAATTTTGATCTATCATTATAGTCTTATAATCAGTTTTAAGTATTTAAACAAGGAAGTTATCCTAAAATGCAAATTGCAAGTAATATTCTGATTTTGTTTTTTGGTGTGTTCCAGAAATGGAAACACTTTCTGTCTTCAAAAATTATGAACCTGGAGATCCAAACTGCCGAATTTATGTGAAGAATTTATCTAAACAAGTTCAGGAAAAGGTAACTGGAAATGGAGCAGAATGTTTTAGCTCTTTGATTATGGTTACTAACTTTTCCTGATATGCTTTTATTTGAATCCCAGGATTTGAAATTTATTTTTGGAAGATATGTTGACTTTTCATCAGAAACTGAACGAATAATGTAAGTGCCTGGATAAGTCAAATAATAATATTATTATTAGATTTTTTTATCCTGCCTTTTTTATATATACCTCAAGGTGGTGAACATGCCTAATACTCCTGCCTCCTATTTACTCCATAACAACAACCCTGTGAGGTGGGTTGGGCTGAGAGAAAATGACTCAACCAAAGTCACCCAGCCAGCTTTCATGCCTTAAGGGAGGCCTTGAACTCACAGTCTCCTGGTTTCTGGGCCACCACCTTAACCACCAAACTGAACTATGTATATTTCCATCAGAAGACTTTTTTTACTTCCCCTCTAGCAGCTTAAGAATATAGAATGGATAATGGATGGGAAAAGAAACCGTGGAAGTGAGAAAGTAGAGAGGTTTGGAGACAAATGTTATTAAAATAAGTTGTGGTGACAGAGAAGCAAAAAAACCCCAAGTCATTTAGATATGGGCATCTTGAGTAAAAGAAATATGGCAGATCAAATATAGTATTTTTAAGATGATATCTATATCTATTTTCTTAAAATATTCTATATAGATTCTATATACAATTTATAAACGTTGATAGATCATAAAATATGGGGCTTATATAGTAGATAGGTTTTAAAAATTCTAATGGGAATTAGTTACAGACAGATGCTGGAAATTGGGGGTGCTAGCGTAAAAGCAATGCTGGCAGATACATTTTAACTACCATGTATCAAAATAAGCTAAGGAAGCATCAAATAACTGTTTCCCTTACTCCAAAAATATCTCCAAGCCTTGTAAGAACCTGGTTTAAACTAGCAATTTTTGTATAGAATATTATCTTCTTACAAAAAGTTGCTGGGTTGGGCTTTCTAAGAGATAGTGGGATAAATGACATATGATCTGAAACAGTTATTAAATTGTAGGAATGGTTCATTGTGTTTACTTTTTTCAAGTAAAAAATTGCTTTCTCTTGACATATGCTAGGTTTGATATACGCTTAATGAAAGAAGGCCGCATGAAAGGACAAGCTTTTATTGGCCTTCCTAATGAAAAAGCAGCTGCAAAAGCTTTGAAAGAAGCAAATGGATATGTCTTATTTGATAAGCCAATGGTGGTTGTATCCTTTATTTAAAAAGTTCTGTTTCGTTTTGGTTAACTGTGAGACCTGAAAATCCTCCTTTTAGCGATGTATAATATTTGAACATGCGTAAGTTTCTTAAATTATCCTCAGCTAAGACTCAAATTTCAATTCAAATACTATTTTCTGAATGTGCTATTGGGCTTTAATCAGTTCATTATCCTGCGGAAGTATCTCTTTGAACTTCAAGTGTGAACATCATGCCTTACCTGTTGTGCCTATTCAAAATCTGATTTTTGTGGTTCGGTACAATGTGTGAACATAGCCATTATGGTTTCTAACCATGATATATGACTTAGCATTTAAATCCAGGCAGTTATTTCTTGTTTAAGGAAAAACCATGGCTTAATGCAATGTGTAAACTTAGACTCTACCTCAAAACAATTGGGAATGAGTTTTTTTCTCTAGAATTTTAAGTTGTAATACAGATCTCTGTGTCTAGTATGGATTTCTAGTTTGCCAGGTTTTCAGATCAGTGATTGACATGTAATAGTTCTGTGAAGAGTTTAAAGAACATTTGGTTATCTCCAGTATACCTCGTAGGAAAGGGAGAAAAAAAATCCATATTCTATGTTCCTTTTTTATAACTCCCAAATAATTAGTCCTGAAATAAATTGAAGGCTTTCTAATTGAATGAGCAGCTCCCTAATTACTCAACTTATTGGGACCATTTGTGACTGTTTTGTTACCTTCATCATTACTTCACAATGAGGTAAAGGAATAATGCAACAGTTAAAAATAAAATGTGGCAGAATCAGAATGTATTTGGATTATTTGTTAATGAAATGATTATTTTTAATTAACACTTCATGGGCTTGATGTCAGCATTATAACATATTTTAGTTTGGTTGTCTTTATTATCTGAACATTTTCTGTGCTTATTAATTATTGTCTGTGCTTATTAATTGTTTTTACTAGGACTTGCAATTAGGTTTTTGTTCCTTAATAAATTCCCAGCAATTTGCTCGATCAGCAAGACCAAAACCAGATTCCAAAGAGGAGAAGAGAAAAGATAAGGGGAAGAAAACCTGAAAGTAAGTTACATTCTCACAACCCATTTTGTCTGTGAAAACATTTTCATAAAAATTGCATGTGTCATCTGTGATAAGCCTGTATTTGGAACACAGGGATTCATTTGGTAAATAATAGCTTATAAGTTTAATTCCTGTTCTGTTTTTTTTTTTTTAATTTCACAGAGAAAAGTACAGTTTAGGAAGAAAGCTGATTGGATTGTTTTTCATTGCTAAATTTAATTTTCTATGTTTATGAGTAGCTTTTTTTATACAAAGGAACATTGTGAATGTTATCTGCTGAGTAGCTGTGTACAAAACTCATTGTTCCAGGGATGGACGGGAAGTGAGTCTACACTGGGAAAATACATGAATGTTGGATTGGTACATTGGAAGATAAATGAAATGTTCTTGTGAATATTGGAGTATTCTGTCCTAGGAAGTGAGTTTTGCATATGCCTGCTGTAGAGTGTGAAATGGTACATCTAGACACAATTTATCCAAAGTGATACTTAGGACAAGATATTAAGTTTTATTTAAAGAGTACTGACTTCTGGTGGATCAGCACATTTTTTCTATCTACTGGGTGTTCGTTTGTTTCAAAACATTTACACTGTTTTTTTAAAAAATGAAATATTTCAGAAATGAAAATCAGCCTTGAATGGATCCATTTGTAATGCGTCATTTTGACTAGTTTTCCTGAACTGTGAAATATCTAGCTCTGCGTTCAGTTATGTGCTAGAGGAATTACTTTGGAATTTTGTCACAGAAAGGTTAATCTGGCTTTTCATCACTAGGCAAAGACCTTTAACTTCTTTTTAATTGTTTAAAAGCTTAAATGGTTTGGTGTTTTACCATTTATATTGTTTACATATGCAACAATCCTGAGATCTTAGTTACTGAAGATATAATCTGTAGATATCCAATCACATCAAATGGCACAGCTAGCCACATCGAATGCAACATTAAAATGCATCAGACCATCCAGATGCAAATCAGCAAGTGGGGGGCTGTCTGTTTAGCTTATCAATCCTCTTGGATTAGAACACTTGTCATTCTTGATTCTTAAATTTAAGATTTATTGAACCTCAGGGACAGCAGTTTTTTCAGGCACTGGATACTGTCACATGATTTTGTATTACGATGTGGATACCTAAATGTAAAGAATAACCATTTTAAAAATGATCAAAATCTCATGAGATTCCAACACTCACCTGTAATCTTTCATGTTTTTAGTATTCTTCCCTAAAATTTCAGCCATTTCTGTTTTAATATCTTTATTTAATGCTGGGGTTTCACAGATACCAAGTAGTGATGTCAGATCTGTCTAATTGTTCAAGAGTTTTTTTCCAATTAGCTTGACTAGAGTGTCGTCATCCTTAAAATAGCTAGTAACATTTAAAGTGTGTATAGTATGTCTTAGCTAATTAAGAATTCTGATAACAACAATTTAATTTTTTTTTACTTTTGTTTAAAAATTTTAGGATAGATTATTATTATGGATACCAAAGTGATGCTCAGAAAGGAGTTTCAGATTTTTCTTTTCAACTAGGTTGGGGTGGAAAACTCCTTTAAGTCCACTGTGTGTCAGAAGTACATGGGGCCAAATCTAAAAGTTTTCTTCCTGATAAACCCATTTGTAAGCACACACGATCATCAATTTTCACATACTACTTGTTCTTTCAAGTGGTTAAGGTATTCACCTGGCACCAGTGAGACCCACCTTTGAAGTCCATCCTCAGCCATAGAAGTTCACAGGTGTGACATTGGATCAGTCACTCTTTCTTATTCCCAAATTGATTGTAGGTGTGAGCAAAAGTTGTAGGAGGGAAATGCTTTGTATGCCACTTTCAGCATACCTGAAGGTGAGATAGGAAACTAACAATAAAATACTCTGTGTTCCACTTGCTGCTGCTCAACTCTTTTTCAAGTTAAAGAGAAGAGTTCAGAATACAAGGATTAAACCAGCATTCTCCAGCCTCCCTACTGCCAAACTATTTAGGTAACAGCTGAGCAGTGATGAAGTAAGCTGCTTCAACAACCTGATCAACTCTATAAGTCTGCAGAAAAAGCAGAGTATTTTGTCCTTTAGTTCCATTTCAAAAAGACACATGCTAATCCAACACTGCAGGAAAAAAGCCAAGCTTGAGGACTCAAGCTATTTACAAATAATTCATAAATTAGGACAGTGCCCATAAGCACCACATCACACACACCTTCCATTAATTGTCTCTTGTATGGTGTGTATATACGTGTGTGTGTTCCATTCTCATGAGATCATCAAGTCTCAAGAGATTTAAGTAATCTTCCATTTATATTTAACTATTTTTTTGCAGCTGTTGAGATTGGTGCTTGCTGCCAACCTCACCTTCAATAGGAAAGAATATATCCTGATGGTCTGTTTAGAGGTGTTCTTAAAACTTCCAAGGTTCCCCACAATATCAGAGGCAACTCTTTGTTCTCTTTCTTAGCTCCAAACCTCTCTTCTTTTCCAAGGCTGAGTATTAAATCAAGGAGAATTCTTGTCTCTGTTCATACTTCCCATCCTATTCCAGCAGATTTCAGTACTAAAAAAATCCTTATAGGTAACATTAATGAATGGATTTCTTTATGGTCCCTGCGTGTGGTGCTATGCTGATAGTGTCTGTAGTGAATTCAGAAGGTCTACATTTACTGTAGAATCAAGGGAAATGTATATTATGAAAATGGCTCTTTTTTTTCTAATTTTATTTCTGTGTTCATGCTAAGCAAGTACAGGGTAGTTAACAAATGTTGTTCTGAAATGAGTGGCTTCCTGCTGTGTAATTTCACTGAATACATTTTGAACAAATATATTTAATTTAGCTGTGTAAGCAGCATTCAAATTGGATCATAGTTACATGTTCTAGATGTGTGTTGAGTAGCTTCTGCCAGAGATTGTCACTTTAGAAAACAGCACAAAAAGTGAGAGGGAGAGAGACTTAACAAAACTCTGATGTATTGCCATTTTCAAAAACTATGTCAGCTGACATAGTATCAATAAAATAGTGTAAAATATTTGTTGTGGATTTCAGGTGTTGTGCCCATTCCTTTAGGTTATATTTGGTTACAAATTTTTAAATAATGACCACTATTTCAAAATTGGCAGTCTAAATGAAAAAGCAACAGAGAATAAAAGGATTAAACCACATTCTGCTGTTCTTCTTTAGAAACATTCCTGCGTAAATACTGCAGTAATACTGTGTCATGAAAAGTGTATCCTTTCTTGTTGTATCCTTTTTGTGTATCTTTTTATTCTGGAAAAACCTTATTTTCTAGCATTGAAGTAGACCAAAAAGTAATAATACAGGCTGAAATAGTAAGCCATTCCCCTTTTATTTAACAGGGCACCCATAGAAGTTTCTAACCTTTAAATGTGCCTTTTAAAATCCCAGTTCTAGCGGCCGGGCCTTCAGTAAGTGTAACTGCTCTGCTTACGTCGGTAGAGTTTAAATGCTGTACTGTATACTAACTGATGGCCTGGATTCAAGTATACACTGAAATTACATTACAGAATACTGTCTTCCAATATCATGGGGTCCAGGGAGAAAAATGAAGTCCTTGTCTATAGTTATGTACTCGTTATGATCTACGGCTCAACTTTTACTAGCATGTACGGCCAATCTCGCTTATGATTTTGTTCTATTCTGTATGTAACATAGTAATGCATAATAGCCGTTCCAGACAATTCTAGAATTGGATTCAGAACTGGCCTTCAGCAAACAGAAGGGCTCCTTCCTTGTAATCCAGAGGACACTTGTACTAGAGAAAGGAAGGAGACCATTTTAGCCACTTCTCCTAGACTACTTCTTTCCCTTTTTGGAGAGCCCCCCCCCCCCCCCC